AACCAAGTATTGTCACAATCAACAGTCTATTGCGAAGTTTTAATTCCTAGGCACTTGTCATATCCAGAAGACATTGCAATGGCTACGACCGAAGGCATCGCATTGCAAGTAGAATCACGTTCAGACCTGAAAATTGTCCAATCAAAGCCTACAGGAGTCGTGCGCGACTCTGCACTTGGTATCTAGGGGAGAAATTTCTTGAAGTATACACTCAGCCTGCTGCATCGAGCTTCCAATTAATAGATTTGCTTAAATTTTGAGCTAGCCATATACTACTCAGAACATCCAAATTGTATCCTCTACTTTGGATGCGGTATCTTTGACAAACCGAAGTAACTCGCGCTCGGTAATAAACACTCAATTTTACAAACGCGCGGAGGATTGCAGACTAAAAACTGAGAAACTAACTAATGGAAATGCCCTCCAAAGGCAAAGCCTTGGGCCTCTTTATTCCTAACTAACTCACTGACATGTCACTCGCTATGATGCGAGCTTTCAACAGGCGCGACGCCAGTAGACCCGGCATTTACCACGTCCGCTGAATTCCTATCTAATCATAAGTTATGCAAAACGATTGAAATCTCCAACTCTAAGTTCTACTTTGTCTCCTCCAAACCGGAGAGGAACGAATACAACTTTCTAACTAATTGACGTTGTCCTCCTACACTACAAGCGATCAATTCCGTCACATGCCGCTCTAATTCTCGCAGCTTCAACCACTTGAGTGTCTCGATCTGCCACATAACGTAAGCGCGAAGACATCAAAATATTATTCTACAATTCTACTAATACCTGCAAGTTAATCAGTTTACGTTAACAACTAAAATAAAGATTTGGATATATTCAATTTAAACATATATTTGTAACATTATCAGACGTATTCTTTGTAGAACATAATTCAACAGCCACTTAATATACTGCAAATATGAACATTGTAAATCATAGAGCGCAATGTACAAACAGTATCCAATTTTTTGGATAAAATATTGCATTAAATTATTAGATTTGTGATGAGGTTTTATTCAGGTTTGAAGAGTTTTCAAAACCTTATGAACCAGTAATTCTACTAGTTGAACATATTTTATTCTTTTTGGTGTTGTACATTGTAATGCCAACTCTTTTGATTTTCATACTTGCTATGCAATTGATTGAAACACTTCGTTAAGCAATATCTTTCTATTTGTTTTGTGATCTACGGGCTTATATTAACTCATTTTTTATTTTTTGATATAAAATTCATCAAAAATCTGAAGCAATTATTAGAACTCAATGATAATTATTTTTATTTTTTATCATTGCTTTTGAGTTTGTATTTTTGTTCAAGAAGAAGTATTTCATCAGTAATTGATTGCAAACTACACACTGCATCAATATGGAGTTTCTAAAAAAAAAAATACTTGAAAAGGATATAGAGTAGTCCTGCCTACGAACACACCTTGAACTTGAAAGGATTGTGCTCACTTGGCCGGCACTTAGACTAATCTTTTGATTTGACTGCAATGACAAAGAAACCGTACGAGACTCTTAAACAAATAACAGCGATGCGATATAAAAGGTAAGCACAGCAACATAGATGATTCAAGTAAAAAGACTCTAACGTGCGAGTAGGATGTTAGTGAAGCAGTTATAAGAAATGTGTGATACACGCGATAGCCAATTCGAAAATTATCTGCCATATAATTTGATGAACCTAAAGAGATTTTTTTTCAAAACTGTTGGTTGTTTCTTTGAAATTGAAGACATGCTTTACATCTGAATTTACATCATGCGTCGTGCCAATCTCCTTAATCTCCGTGCCAAAGCAAAGAATATTGCATTAAGTTTATCAAATTTTGACATCCTTGTAATGGTCAAATTAATCACAAGACGTTCAGGGTTGCAAAAGGTGCTGATTCATGGAAAGGGAACTCAAGTGAACAAATCCGATTGCTGGAAGTTTTAGACTACAATTATAGGTTTATTGCCCAATATGCGTATGGAAATGTGTACAATATGGTCAATACCGGATTGTTTTTTTGACTACTACCAACATACATCCTTATAATGTTACATGAGAATACGTCAACCAAAAAATTGGCTTCTAAACGCAAGAATCTTCAAAACTTGCGAGGACAATATTTGACATGTTGAACAAAATATATCTTGAACGCTATATTTTGGGTAAAATTCTACGTACCGAACGGGGATGTATGCTTAAGCATGTGCGTACTTAAGCGGGAGCGTACTTGTACGCGTTTGAGCAATAATAAACTTAAAAATTTCACTTTACGACATGAGTTTCAGTTCAAAGTATCTACAATCTCGTGAAGAGGTAAACTACAACCCACATTAGCTCCATCATTTACGGAGGCTGAAAACCGAGCTATCAATAAGAGTGCTAAGGATATGTGTTAGCTTGTGAAAATCATGACAAATCTAGACGTGGATGAGAATCTTCCAACTGGACTTTGTCGTGAAAATCAAGCTCTTTTAAGCTTGCTCTTTTTAACATGTGGAAGTTGAAGACCACTTTATTCGGGACCAAGTTGAGAAGAAATTGCTCGAGCTTATCTTCACTCATAAAGTGTATTAAATAACTATACCTGAGTAAAACTGTAGAAAGGATACAGTGTCTGGAGCTTTAATTCGAGCTAGGTGATACAGTATCGAGAGATTAGTCGAGAATGTGTCAATTTTAATAAATAATAGCTGTAATTTGTAGATGTTGCTATGTGGTTTAAGACAAGATAAGTGTGCCTATGTAGAGGGAAGGTGAAAAAAACAGATTGGTCGACATCGACACCGGCACACTGGAATTAATTTTAGATTAGCACAATGGTATCCTTGAGATGATGATCATCCTGGTGACCCGATTTATTGATCGAAAGAAGTGTCGCTCAAATGCCATTTATCTCAAAGAGATAACTCAGTGGGCTAGTGAATGTCTCCCCATATATGCTGGCTCTCCTGTTCTCATCAAACAAGCAACAAGATTCCCGACTGACTCAATGTGCAAGATGGGTCTGCTGGTCCTGGCTTGTCCCGAAATACTTTCACAACAAGGGAGGCTAATGCAGGGAGATTGCTCTATCGAGTGAGGGAAGACGACATTGTCTCATATTTCTGTGCAGTTTATCAATGAGCAGCAGTCAAGTTCCCAATCACATTCAGCAGGAGCAGACGGGTTATAAACTCTGATTGCTGCTTGTTGCAAATGCCAAACCTGGTCTTATCTTCGACCAAAGATTGTTCTCCACGTAATGCAGTACAGGAACATCAAAAATCCCCACGTGGATAGACTTTTCGCTCATGCGGCAAAAGGGCCCTGCAGAGAGACGCATGGAGTCCGTGAATTGTGCTATGGTCCAATTCAAACATAGGTTTAACGTTTATCTCTGTTGAAATTTGCGAATTCATAGAAACCTGTGCAGCAGCAGGTATTATTTGGCGAGATTTTATGACTGCCTAGACATGTCCAAGCTGACATATGGAGGCGCTGCAGCAGGCATGATGGCTAGTCTAGGTTGCTGGTGACCTGGACAGTAGATGACGATTGGATGATTAAACCTCTGAATTGGCTTCCTCACACAGCGAGGCTTGGTTGCAGACTTGTCTAAACCAAGCAGCCGCAAGACAAAGCCAAGAAAATCGAATACTAAGCACATCTCCGAACGCTAACAAACTTACAGACTGACTGCTTTCCTCGTGTCAATGAGCGGAAGGTTGATTTGGAAAAGGTGCTCAAGACTCGAGTCTGAATCTTCTCGCCGAAGTGATCCTGGACTTGGTGCTTTGAGCACAAAATGTCTTCTAATTGTCGTTTCCTGTCGGTATTTAGTTCGTCACGTAAGACTTCAACAAACGAGTATCTCGTGGCCGGACATGCACGACTCAGCTAGAGATCAAACCGAAGGATCAAAGCCCTAACACTGGAAGCTATTATTCTTCCTGCATGCTGCCATAAAGGAACCTGGAGCAAAAACTATAGGCCGGTGGAAGGAGTCTGAGCTCATCACTGGCTATCCAGACTCGGTGTCCCAACAATGAGTGAACCAATACGGATGAAGAACCATCTACGGGCTCGATTCCTGAAAAGCTCGAATTGATGTCCATGTTGACTGAAGGGAAGAGGACTTTAAACCCTCTCACTGTCGACGGACTCGTGGATGTCTCACACAGATGGAGCTCTGAAAGGGCATCAATTCTTTCGATGGGACAAAGCGAGGACGCGCACATGTGCAAGTCGGCCGCCCTCTGATTGAGTAAAGGGCGAAAAAAAAAGATGATACTGACTCGTTTCAACACAAAGGCCCACACAGAGGAGTCCCTACAGCTCAAGGTGGAAGAACTTACGCTCCACAAACCTCCACTACTTGTGCCCTCACCATTCGCAGTTCTCACCGTATGTGATGCGGCAACCTGCTTCCATTGCAGCAAAGTATGAAATCTGCAGATCAAGTATACTCGTGGCAATGTAAAGCATCCGATCGGAGTAAGCTTGACGTTATTTATATGGCCTTTAAAATAAACTTTTCGCACTCTTAGTGGGTCAGGAAAATGGGACTCGGAAGCTCGAAGAGAGGAGTCGAGCAGACTTTTACGTTTTTCGGTGTAGTTAATGTCGGTCACCACTCAATCATTGACTACTCTTGCCGGATATGGACTCCAGTGGGCCAGCTACAGCAGGATCGAATAACGAACAGTGGCTACGGTTTAGCTTCTCAAACCCGCGAGGAAATGTAGATACACACCTGGCATTGAACTAAGCTTGTGGTAATGGCCGCTGCATGGCTGTAGAATATTGTAGTAAATGTGCGGAGACGGTTATTTCGAGCAGCTGGGACTGTGGGGGAACGACTATAAGTTGGACGCAGACGAAGAAGCGTTAAAGCATCCACGTGAGGAATGAGGCAGGAGCTGTGGAAACTCGAAGCTGCAGCAGAAGATCACGAATCAGATAAGGAGGGGATAGATTGATCCAAATGGCGACAACAACAGCAGCAAAAACAACAACAAGGCCCATGAAGAGATCGGCCTTTGTGCGTCTGGCAACGGAAGACGACGTTCCTGCACTGCAGCTGTTGATACAAGGCCTCGCGGACTACGAGGGTGCCTCCAAAGACTGCCATGCGACAGAATCTGCTCTGAACTCGACTCTGTTCCAGCAGCCCCCGTTCGTGGGCACTACGGTCTTCCTTCTCGAGCTCGGTCCTCTTCTCGAAAGCCCCAAAGGTCTCGTTGCATCAAACGGAGTCGGCAATCATGGAGTACTGACGATTGGAGCTTCCAAAGGAAAAACCCCCGAGCCTCGGGTACCAGCGAACGGAGCTGCCACATATTCATCTTTCCACGAGGAGTCCCACGAAGTCAACTTGACTTGTGCGGAAGAGACTTCCGCGTCCGCTGCTCCCTATCGGTCGCCGAGGGATAAAACACGGACCATCGTGGGCTTCGCTCTGTGTTTTCCGAGGTACGTATGCTACATGGCCAGGAATGCGCTTTTCATCGATGGTCTTCACGTGAGAGAAGCGTTCAGAAGGCAAGGCCTCGGCACCATTTTGTTGACGACGGTGGCGCAACAAGCTGCCAAGCGGGGCTTCGCAAGAGTGGACTGGATTGTGGAGGACTGGAACGTGAGTGCTATCAAATTCTACGAGGGCATGGGCGCTCCCGTCATGCCCAATCTGCTCACCTGCCGCTTGAAGGGAGACAATCTCGGAGCTTACGCGAGCTAATGTCCTGCAGCATATCAAGCAAGACTCAGCAAGAGGAGTCGCCTTCGGCTGATCCCTAGTTGTCCTATAGGAATAATGAATGAGTGACGATGATACATGAGGACGAGCCTCGCGAGAGCTTAGGACTCATTTCCGATCATCAATGTACAAACTTGCGCTGTTTTCTTTGTGGCAATCTCCCCGTCGTTCTGCACAACTTGGAAGTTGTTTCCATGTAAGTGCACCGATATAAAATAATGGTCTTGGAAACAGAATTCAACGTCACTTTTCACGACTCCAAATTGGTGCTTCTTGATGATCCGTCCTTATATCATGATCTATCTGACTCAGTCAGTAGAAAAGATCCAGTCTCGAAAAAATTTCCAGTATTTCAATCGGTACTTTTATGATCGGACCTTTCCAGCCGAAGATCAAATGTCAAGAGAAGTCCAAAACATAACATCTGCACATGTAACGCCTCACGTCACAAAAGATCCATCTAGATTTTACTCTGGCTAGTATTCTGGTATTCTAGGTTGGAACTGAGATAAGCACTTCGGACCTTTCTCGAGTTGGCACAGCACTTGCATGCAAGCTCTGGAGATCGAATAAGGATCATCAATACTAATATACAACATAGCTCTGGAGCGGAAATGGTCGTTAAATGTTGGAGCTGTAATGGCGCAAGATTACGCCAATTGTGGACTGTTGCTCGTGTGACTTCAACAACGCGTAGGATCACTTATGCTTAGGTACGTGAAGAGAGCTTCCTATTACTCCCAGTAAATTAAATCGCCGTCTTTAAGTTGGACTTAAGAACAGAACTTGGTTGATTAGCCGGAGGCAAAACGCCTAAATACAAAACAGAAATGAGATCGAGTGGCCGTGGTGGAACCCCTAAATTGGAGAGCCAAGATGTCTACCTAGTTAAGTGGACTACAGGACAAGAGAGATCTCCTCTCTTCCTATCGACTTAGCCTAAGTGGATAGCTGTGATATCCCTCGTAAAGTAACTTCGAACAACACATTTTTTTGCTTCAAACCCAACGCAGAATCGAACCCTAGACGAACAGTTCAGTATCGACAAACTTTTGGAATTCGAGCTGTGCTCTTCACAACGATGTGCCGCTGTGAGCGCAAGGTGGGGAACATAAAGGGTTCACATTTGTGTGCAGGACTTGAGATGCAAGCTCAAGCTCAGGCAGGCAGAAATTTTCGCATTTGTCGATACGTCAGACTCTTGACACTCGTAGCGCCGATGGTTCCACTCATCTTCGTAACTCTTTTTCCCTCCGCGATCCATCTCGTGCACTGTACTTTCAAAAGAGTCCTTAATCTCCACACGTTTGCTTTTTCCAGACAATCTCCAAATAGGAGGTCCAAGTTATGGAAGGAATGATTCTTTCCAAATCTAGTATCTCAACCGATTTGAGTTTTCTCAAGTACTGAACTTCTCCTCGGCTTCTCCTTTCACAGTCTCAGCGGTCATATAGGATCTCCAGGATTGGTTTGTGGTAGAAACATGTTCGAGGACACAGCATGATAACTGTAATTTCGTCCGTGATATTGTTCTTGTAAAAAACCCAGAAGTACCACTTGAAGAAAGTACCCGGCAGTGATTATGAATCACTTAACTTAAAACCGAGAGGATCCACTTTGACAGTTCCCGGCACTAGCTTTCAGTACATGAGGTGCTCATCACAATAGTTGTGTTTCTGGGATGTCTCCTGCCAACGGAGTAAAAGGCGTGCTGCGGTGAGCGTGGATCGAACACGCGACCTTCAGATCTTCAGTCTGACGCTCTCCCAACTGAGCTATCCCCGCTGCATTCCGTAACCGGGACTCGAACCCGGGTCGCCTGGGTGAAAGCCAGGTATCCTAACCATCTAGACTATTACGGATTGATGACACTCGAGCAATTATTAACATTATAGTATCTTTTTAACCATATCAGTGGCTTCTCTTATAAACCTGAACGTAATGTTTCCTAAGCGCGAGGAGACGAAGATTTTCAAAGGTAGAAAACATAACCAGCGATTTTTACATTTGTATAATCACTTAAATGTAACCGAAAAGGAGTATGGAACATGATTATCATTCGATCAAAGAACACAAGAGAATTGCCCACCGGGACGGTGGAAGGGAGGGTATCATCGTAGCAGTGTACTCTTGGCAGGGAGGGTTCTACATTTTTGTTGACAATTTGAATAATTTCCTCCGTGTTTGTAATCGTAGATGATTTTAGTTTTTCATTTTGAATGTTCTATGATATCTTTACAATTATTTGTCAACGTTCAGTTTTTTTCTTTTCCCTTCACAAATTTCTCTACATATTTTACAATAATGTATTTATGCGTTTGGGTTGTTCACAAGTTGTTTTTTTCGTACACAGACAAAGAATTGTAGCGGATTTTTCTACATATTTTAAGTTGTCCCTTTCCATGTTTTGCGGTGTATAATAATTTTACTTTATAATATGGTATATTCTGTTTTTTTACTCCCATTTGCTGGGTTTGACAACATTTTCTCTGCCGGCTGCAGATTTGATAAATTCAGTTGTTCAAGGCTCAATTTGGCCATTTTCGGACGATTCGAGTATTCTGTGCATCGAACACAATCGAAACATTGCGACAGTGCATCATCGTTGAAAACAGAACTTCAAGGCAATGCCAAACGAGATCAATTTCTTGCAAATTCGAACCTTCGTTCACGCGGAAAGATAACAACTTGAAAATGGTTCGTTTATATATGGGTATACATCGACGAGTCCATCAGTAAATCCCAGTGATCGTGCTCTACAATTACATTCTAAACGAGATCAAGTGGGAGGCAAAATTGCAACTGTACAATCAAGGTTCGCATAGTACACGAGCCGCGCTCGCTCCAATTCCGTTCCATTGCCTCGCCAGCGATCGATAGATCGAAGACTCCGGCGGCATATCCATCCACTGAACGAAATCCCTCAGAGCGTCCAGCGCTTACTGGCCGGGGGTGAAGGCGGTGGCGTAGGCCCAGGCATTGTTGGTGGCGGGGTCAGCGATGTGGCTCAGCAAGTTGTCCAGAGGTCCCTTGCCGGTGACGATGGCCTGGACGAAGAATCCGAAGGCGGAAAACATGGCCAGACGGCCGTTCTTGATCTCCTTCACCTTGAGCTCGGCGAAGGTGTCGGGGTCGTTGGCAAGACCCAAGGGGTCGAAAGCGCCTCCGGGGTAGATCGGGTCGAGGTCAGCGCCCAGAGGGCCGCCTCCCACTCGGTAACCCTCGATCAGGCCCATGAGAACAACCTGGCATCCGAGGATGGCCAGAATGCTCTGCGCGTGGATCAGGTTCTCGTTGCCGAGGTAGTTCAGACCGCCATCGGCGAAGATCTGCGACCCGGCCTTGAACCAGATGGGCTCGCCGAAGGTGATGCCGTTCTTGGCCAGAAGCTCGGGGAAGATCATTCCCAATGTTCCGAGCATTGCCCAGCGCGAGTGGATCACCTCGAGCTCCCGGTTCTTGGAGAAGGTCTCGGGGTCAGCCGAGAGCCCCGCGGTGTCCCACCCGTAGTCTCCCGGGAACTCTCCGGTCAGGTACGATGGGGTCGCCTCAGAGAACGGGCCCAAGAACTTGGGTCTGTCGGGACCGTACCTGCGCAATCATCCGAGACGTCGTTAGGACACATATTGATTCGTGCGTGATCTTGCCATCGATTGTATATGACTATACGAACAATGCTCTCGAGCTTACATCCGATAATCACGCTCCAGATTCCGAGCCACATTGCTTCACACGAACTGCTTACGGTTGTCTCGTTGACAGAAGAGGCGGCGAGACAATCGCGATAGAGGACTCGCGGAGTGTTTGAGGCGACGCGTGTGCGTCACCTGTGGGACAGAGCTAGGGTTCCACGCGTGTTGCGTCGGCTACATTGAAATTGGAGATGAAGAGTTCGATTTCTTAAGGCGTAATTCAGATGGAGGACCTTCTATAGGCATTGACATATGGATGTAAACGGGAATCGAAGCTACTGGCACAGAGGGACGATGTGATAGTTCTTACCAGATGCTCTCTGGGGTGCTGGTCTTGGTCCTCCTCATGGTGATCCTGGCGTCGACATTGCCGACCTTCTTGGAGAGCTCGCTCTGTCCCTTGAGCACGCTCTGGCCGGCGAAGGTGGTGCTGCTGATGGCGGACGCGGTGGCTGCTGCCATGGTGACGGGCTTCGTGGATGACAAATCTCAGAGTCTGAGAACTTCGCAAGCTGAGAGATGTGTAGTCGTAGAATATGTCGATGTGCCTATTTCAATTCACAGGCCTGGGTGTTGGCGAGACTTCAGATCACTGGATTGTTCGAGCTGAGCAACCATTGGAGAGCCAGAATCTCGAGAAATCCGTGCTACCCACAGCCAAACAAGTAAGCGAACAAGTGCACAACCACAAAAAGGCCATCGTTGAGGCTTGTGGGCGCATGCCAACCACGCGTTTCCCTCACCAGAAAGTCTCGGACTGCTTTCGACATTTGGCCAGGGAACGTCCCACCCTCGGCTGATCCACTTTGATCGGCTTCATCCAGCCGTCAAAATCGATGGATATACTCTGCACGTACCATAATACAACATCGCTACCCTCCATCTGAACCTTCGTGGCCAACAATGGTGGAGGTGAAACCCGTACCGCCATTCTAGCCAAGCCTCCAGGCTCCAGAGTGCTCGGAGGGCCCAGCAGGCTCTACTCCATCCAGAGACGCTCTTCTGGAATTCATGGAATCACTCGTATGTCGCCCTCTACTGTGGTACACTGGATACGTTAACATCCGGATCAAACGTGTCCTTTTCAGTGTCATTGTCTTCCCGCCTATTCATCAATCTTCGTGCGCAGAGATTTAAAGGAATTACCACTGATACGTCGGTGTTCATGCTAAATGCAGATGTTTGACTGAAAAATTTTCCAACACTTATCCAAGTCCAAGTTCGTTATACCTTTGCAATCATCCCTGGCACCTCTTTCAGCTGTAAAGCTTGATGCTCATACTGCTCCGAGCTTCACGAAAGGATGATAATCTTTTCCTTTCCTACGGTTTAACATTTCTCATTCAACGTTCGAAACTTATCTCAATTAGAATCTTGGGCCGTTTTCCCTTTATATCCTCCGAAGTAAGACTAACAAAACAACAAAAGGACTTCGAAGTTCGTTGCCACCAACTGACGCTCCACGATCGTGCTAATTCACGTTGATGCAAGGCAAGGCACAAAGGAAATTAAGCTAGGTCGTGTGTGAGCACCATACCACGCGCTAATCAGAAAGGCATGTTCGTTTTGCAGACTCAGCTCTAGACGGACATCACTTCCGGCATTCGGTATACGGCGCAATACGAAGATCCGTTGACAACCATGTACGGTACTTGCGATGGAGACACATAACTTGTATATTTCACTCAACCACATCAGCTGTGCCCAGTTTAAACGTCCAAATTAAAAGAGGAATACCATTACTTGAAAATTTAATACGATGTGCATTCCTCAGAAATCCAAGGTTTGGTAGTTACTTCGACCTTGAATGCTGAACGGCCGAATTTGACTCATTCTTCATAGTATAAGTAGCTCCACATCTCTAGACATTACTGTAAGCTTATACTTTGAACACTGAGGAAAATTTCTCGGTCACAAGGATGCACAGGTGTCAACTTGGTAGCACCCCAAAGATCATGCCTCTTCTTGGTAGGTGACTAAAAACGTCGGCGGTTATGGAACGATTCCATGTCATGGCATATATACCGAGAGGGAATCGAGTGATTAAGCGGTTGATGCAATCAACTGTTGTAAGCTCTCACATCGTGTCAACTGCCGAGAAAAAGTGTTTTAGAACCGTATCCTCCCAGACCAATCTTTGTCACTCTTTACTATTGTCGAGCTGGACGAAGTCAAATTAGGCAGTTCAAAAAGGCAACGACGCTTCAGGCATGAACCAGCATGCCCCAACTAAGCGTGAACCTCAAAATTGCTGGAGCATCGGATGACATCCAAGACCTCGGCCACCTTCTGAGCCTGGTAGCCACTCGCGTCGTAACATCCACATTCTCCTGGAGATTAAGCATCTGACCTCGTTCGGCGTTCCTCGTATGAAGCTGCAAAAGCCAGAGATGTGTCCTGTTCACACTTGCAAGAATACTAAAACCAGATGACGCTTCGAAGCCGCATGTACATGGAAGAGAACGAACTCATATGTGTACTTACGTTCCGTTTGTCGCAATGAGAGAGGAATATGCATACGCTTGAGCTTGTTTATGTGTTCCACGTCGAGAATTTCTACAGCGAGATCAAATACAAATCACATTAGTGAAATATTGTAATATCAGAGTTAAATGACGCAGGCAGAACTAATCGATAAATGCCGGTAAAACTCTTCGATGAAGCAAGAAATATCAAGGGGTACAAGTTACAGACATGAAGAGGACGCAAACTCGTCAGAGACTAACCTGAGGACGGCAGCTCCTCAAGTGCTTCTTGGATAAGGGCCACATGTATAAGAGCCTTTTCCAGGTACTTCTCCAGATGTAGTTTTAATTGTTTCATGGCTTCTGGCTCAGGCGAAGATAAACACCATCAGTAAGGTGGTGCTTGCACGCAGTATCTTCCCTTTTCAACGCACTATGCTCTTCTTGAGAAACACAACTTGAAAAAGGAAGATGGGAACCCAAAGTGTTGAAACCTGGCTCAAATTGTTCGAATCTAACAGTACAGCGGTCGAAGGTTAAGATTCTCACTTGGTGGGCAGTGCAATTTCAGCCCTTGATACCCACATCTGCGGAGGACTAAAGGCATCTCAGATGCCATGGAATACTGTGGCTTCCTTGAGGTGTTCGAAGCACGACCCAGCAGGTCATCAACAATCTGCGAGAACACACGAGCGTTCAGGGTGAATGAAAGCTAGGCTTGTTATAGGCTGGCCAAAGAAAATATGCAAGTGAAGAGAGGTACAACCATAGAAGACACCAGAAATCGATGTACACATCTGATACAGAGCAAGCCTTCAATACCGTAGCAGCAATTCGGATGACATTCATATGAAGCTTTTGCAAGTTTACAACTTTACCAGGGAGCAATGTTAGTCTGCTGCAAAGAAAAGATTTACCTCTGGTGGTTCATATCCTCGGCCCACCATGAACAAAATAGCTACCATGCATCGAATTTGATGCCACAAGAATGCTGTTCCTTTAACTCGGACTACCCAAACCTGTGTCCCTGCCCAGCTGTATGGAAAGATGTAGAGGATACACGATTTAGAATATAAATCTATGCGCAATATCAGCTCTCAAGCTAAATTCGGAGTCAGTCTCTTGAAGAAATTACCTCATTGATGAAGTAAAGAATGCAACAACGCACAAGTCAGGAAGCTTGTTATTGTAACTGCGAACTTTGTGTACATATGTAACTTAGTCTTCAGAGTGACATCCAAATCCATGCCTCATTCATCACTTCGTAAACAAGAACTTACCCTTCGTTGAATGGAACTATTTCCAACTCGGTAACTGTTCGTCGATAATTATGTACATTGGCAGCATCCATTTTGCAAAAGTTCCGGAAATCATGTTCTCCCAAAAACTTTGAAGCTGCCAACTTCATTGACTGCAAAGAAGTCATAGAGAGATTCAGGCCAAAAACGGGAGCTGAAACAAGAAAGCAAGCATGCCATAGACAAAACTGTCTTAATCCTATTGCTTGTGACAAGAATCTATTCATTATACAGTAAGATTTTCATCGGAAACCGGGGCAAATAGATACTGCCATAGATGCTGCTATGACTTAAAACTTCAGTAAGGTCTCAACTTTTGAGGTTGCTAGACTTCGTTATCAACCTTTCAGATAAAAGGAGCAAATATCGGAAATCTCTTGAATTATCTGATCTCGTGACTCAACTAAAGAAGTTCGGTCTGGTAAAAGTTTAAATGGCTGCACAATATGTACATTCAGGCACTTACCGCGATATCCAGATGTCCACCAACAAAAAAGTACTTGTATTCTCGATACAGACAACTGAACCTGCATTCAGAAACATCCACAGTAAACACGTGCTCGACTTCCATATGTGAGTGTAGACATATCGTCTTTTTGATCTATGCTTCATCTTTCTATAGAAAAATGTCACCGTCTGGAACTTCCTAGATCTTGAGTGAGATTACATGCTACATACCTTGAATGGAACCCTCTTGGCACTGGACACCAACCAAGAACACGAATATCGTCCGGAAGTACTCGGTTTAGAACCCCGACGTAGTCAATTTCCTCTTCATCTCCTGCACAAGATGATACAACGCAATTAACATTATATGCACGATGTTGATATGATCCGGTCGTGAAAAATGCTGATGCAGGTTTACTTCACGTAGTCAGCGAACGGGATTGTTCTCTCCATACGATGTTTGTGATGCTCTTTCAGTGCTAGAAATTTTCCAGCTACCGGCTGTGTAAACATGAATACATCCAGAAACGTAATCAACAATCGACAGCGAACACGTTCTTCGACGAGTTTAAATGCACGCGAATAAGTTCCTCTCATGCATCTTAAGTTTTCTTTAATTAATCCCCAACGTCATTTACTTACCGAGGTTGGATGAAACTGATTCTTCAGCCGCTCGACTGGCCCTGGCTGCGGCAACTCGATCAGTTAGCATTTCTTCAGCTTCCACATCATGGGCAGCGGAAGATATGATCTTCTCGTCCCCGTCCGCAAGGTTCTCATACGTATAAACCGAGCCTCCTATTCCCCCTTCATGTACCGAAGGTTTACAACTCGTTCTGAGACGGAGAGATACCAACTGGTACAAGACGAAAAACGAATATGAACAATGGTACATATTCAACAGAAGTAAAAAAAATCCTTAATACGCTGAGGCCGTGGGTTACAAAAACGATTATGACGAGAAATTTAATAAGCCCTTAAATTAGTGGCTAGGGCATGGTGGCAGGAGACAAAGTGCAAGATATGACCTGCCCAATGGCTGATACACCTTTATCAGTACGTCCACACCTTGAGTAATTGGCATCCGAGACATCACCAATCAGAAGCTTTGTCCTCCTAAGGGCTGCAAAGAACTCTGACTGCACAGACAAGGCGAGCTTAGAGAGTGCAGATGTAGAAGGAGAAGGCTTTCCTTCTCTAACCACTTGGCAAATAGGCTTCAAGTTTCAAAAAGGGAGAAAGATACAGCAAATACTCGTTCAAATTGATTCAAACGATTGCTCTGAACCCAATACAAAGTAGGAAAATACTCTAGTAAGCAAGAGCGCGTTTATCCAGGCTATACCTCCACAGTCACCTGCGTTCCAGGCTGGAAAGCAAATCCTTGGTACCTGAAAATACAAGAATAATGCATGGTAAGGTTTGTCAACAAGCTTGTGTCGCTTATAATAAAAAGAAGAAAAATATAGACCCATCGACACTTCCAGGAATATATAGATCCTAAAGATCACCTGCTTCCCCAATACATGATCTTTAGAGCTACATGCCGAGTGGATTGATTCTTCATGTTTCCTCGAGCTGCAATACGAACCCATGGATGGATGATCAGAAGGCAGGTGTGGTAAATAAGAACCGTCACATAAGAGCGGTGATAAAAACCTGTAGCCTGGATTCAAACCTGAACGGTACTAGAATTACCATTATTATATTGTGGGGATGCATTGACCTTGGGTGAATGACTTGGACATATTTCCTGTTGACTAGTTTATTTCGTGAAAAGTATTCCACCTCTCTAGACAACTCTTATCTTTTAGGTGTCTTTCATCCTGTCCGCTACCTCTCCTGTCAGTAAGGAGTCCAGAGAGGTTGCGGGGTACACGGTCTTCAAGCAGTGACAGGCACATACTAATCACTAGTATTTCTACGACCATATTCCAGCACTTCATCCTGACAACTTAAGATCCACTCGAAACTGACAGAGCCCAACTTGTAAACGAAATTGTACAAACACAAGCGACTTGTGCCTACCTCAAGATATGAGCCCACAAAGTACCGCTTTCGACATTCCAACAACATCTGGTCAAAGAGTAGGGCTAACTGATTGACTGTATGACTATGTAAGGATGGTATACAGCACACACACTTCCTTTCTTCCCCTTCTTCGTAAGCTGCTCCTGACCACACGTGCCATTCTTGATTACAGGGTGGACAATATCGTCTCCTTGCAGCTCAGGAACTTCCCGTTGCATCTTCTGTGAAGTCTCAACTTGGAGACCGGAATGTTCCACAGCAGCAAGTTCTGGGATGTGGTGAGAATCATTGTGTTTGTTGACACATCCCGCTTGTATATCCTCTTTGGTCTTGTCTTTAGAAGCAGGAAGACCAGGAGTAAAAGCTGTCGACTGCAGGGCATTTTGAAACCCGGATACGAACGTAAATAAACACATTTATATTCAGGACATCCTGCGTATCGTTTCATGAACCATGCCATGCTACACTACGAAATAATAATATATACATATATATAACTAGCCATCAGTAAATTATTAGAAAAACAAAAATTTAAGTCCTGTTCGAAAGTTCTCTTCATAAACGTGACCACAAATGAATTCGACAGAGACGAGAATGTTGCCCTCACCTGAATAGTATTGTCTTTCACCTCTAACGATCTTCCCAAAAGAGGATTTTCCAACTCCAGCATCTGTAGGTACCATCACCGCATGCAAAATTTAAAAAGAGAAGAATGAGTTCACCTGAATATGAACATCTCATGTAATCAATTTGTCCAAATCAGAACTTGAAGATCGGGTGATTAGATCCATCTCGTCATTGTCCATACATTGTTTTATTCATTAATCATGAACAAAGATCAGAATTCAAACCTTTTGAACATATTGTAAATCTCCCGTAACAGCACGTATTTCTGTCCTCAAGAAAGCTCTTTTACGAAAATTGCTTTGCGATTCCATTTAGTATTTAGCAGATTGAATGTTCAGAAACGATTGTGTTGGGAGGTCGAGTAAGCAAACGAGCTGGCAGCCAGGCATGATTTGCCACTCCAGAAATATTCAACTGTTCGAGATGAAATTACATCATCCGAGTCGACAATGTCATCAGTTAATGATGTCTGCAAGCAGCCTCTGGTTGCACACGTAATTACACAGCTCATATTGTAGTTTGCGGAGGCTTGAAGAACAAAAATTGTCAGAAACTGCTGTGCGCTTCTTCCAACTCAATTTTGTCAATCGATACCATTCCAAAGCCCTGTAAGTACTTTCAATTGCCTACTAACGAACTTCATTCGGCGGGAATTGGGATCAGTTCCTTGTGCGGCGGTGAATTCGACGCGATTCAAGCTGGATTATAAGGAGCTCCTATGCAATGGAGGTGTCCCGGACCCCTATAGCTGTTAGTGGTCACGTTCAAGGTCAGTGTGTGCTAATACCCTGACCGTAAAGGAGCAAGCCTCTACCAATTTCTACTTTGGACCGAGAATCTGCGGAAGTAGAAGAGTCCATAAGCGGATTCCCATTTAAGAAATCGAAAGTGTTTCAAGTGGTAAGAAGAGCAGCACTCTGCACAGGCTCTGTCTTCGAGTGACAATTAATCGCTCATCGATACTGCGAACGAGGAATGGCACTGGAGTCGTCAGCACCGAAATGCCCGACAGCACACACCTTGATCTTTTCCGTCAGTACTGCAACCAAGGCTTCCAGCTCCTTAATCCGCTCTCGCGCTGCCACCAGCGCATCGGAGTTCACTTCCATTTCGCAAGTAAGACCTCAGCACCTCCTCCTCCTCCAGCGGCAACACTACCTTTTCCTGTCCTTCGAACCACACCGCACCAAAACCTACCTTTTCAAAAGCTCCAGCCTATGTTCCTGTCGCCCTCTAAACTTGCTTCTATGTCTTCCCTCCAGCACCATTCTTCTCCACCTCGACTCTACCTGCACATCGTTCGAAAACTGTGGGAAACTTTTAATAATAACTCGCTAGCCCAAAGCGCACTATGACGATCCCTGAGGACAGAATCAACACTCTCTTTCTCCTCTCTCGGCCCTGCACGTTCGGTTTCGTCGGTATAATTTAACCCGGATGTACGCAGTAACTTCCAAATCTGCTTCTGCCGCTCCGGTCACCCACACCTCAGCACAGCCCATCTCAGCTAAAGATCAGCTCACCTCAGCCAACTCTCCGACAACCCCCTGCTAGCCCTAATCTAGCTAGCTGCCTATTTTCCTGCAATACAATATACAGGTACACAGTACAGTACTGCACTCCTCGGCACCAGATGCAGAAATGCTGTTCTCCTTCCGAGCTTTCTTTATTCCGGGACTTGTCTTGGCGTGTTGCAGCCTACTTCGCGGTGGGCCCGGGGGCCTGCCACTGGGCTTGTGTCTCCATTGGATTTCAGAGGTGCTCGTCAGCCTTAAGTGCGAGCCAGTGCCAAGTCAACCACAGGCAGGCCCATGCAGGCCCTGCTAAAGCAGAAGAAGAAGAAGGTCTCGTGGATTGAAGAAGCTTGCCGACTTTTCAACTTCTTCCGTCACGTTCCCAGGCTCCCACTGCCTCGCACCGGATGCTCAAACTCCATCCAGCCCTCCCCCTCGTTCATTTATTCAGTCACTATGTGCAGCGGTCAGCAGTTGACAACTCGCCACCGTGCCTCCTTCAGCTTGCTCGGTTGGGTTGGGGTGGAGTGGGGCTGGGTTGCGGATGAAGATTCATGAAGTCTAGTCCACAGAACAGGAGCTGCTGAGGCTGCAGTTTTCCAATTCTCACGGCAAGTGTTAACGTAACTCCGGTATTCCATCCCGCTCTGCCTGCTGCCTCCCTCCCCTCCCCTTGCTTCCTGTCCCGAACGACTGCATTCTTCCCGAGGCACATTGGGTGGAGCAGAAGAACGCTACTTCCACCATTGGTCTGACTATACTCGTACAGTGAGTTATGAGTGCGCCCTCCAACTCTCCGAACTCTACAGCAGTATCAGCACGTGCTCCTTCCAGTAGTTTCACTTCTACCTTTCTGCATCTTCTCGACAACTACTTAAGTTCTACCAATACTGTACAACCGCACTTCACCTCCTTGCAATCTTCCCGATGCACACCGGTCACATTTGCCCAAGCACGCAGCGGGGAAGAAGTAGATTACAAGGTACTGTTATTGAGCACAGAAGGAAGTTCTGCTATGGAGGGGACTAGCCTATCGCTCTCTTCATCTTCCGTCTCTCACCTCACGACTAGCCCAATTAGTCGGTTTCCTCATGCCCTTCCATCCCTCCACAGTCGTTTATTTTTTTCCCTCAAAAGCTCGGCATCCGCACGTGCTGGTTCCTCTGATTCCCACTTTTCAGCTTGGTCATCCACAAGTACGAAATGAAAGTCCTCCTTCAGCATCTATCTAGTGGAGGAGAAGCACATCCAGTGGGATTGCATATGTCAAGGCTGCAAGAGGAATCCCATTCTGCCGATTATCCTCCTCTTCTTCTCCTTCTTCCTCTGTTGTTGTTGCAGCTGCTGCTCCTGCTGCTGCTGCCGGTGGTTCTTCAGTTAGGATCAACTTTTCAGACGGTATCTACCCTCTACTACTATACGCCCCCATGATCAAACCCACCTCACACTTAGTGCAGGTCCCTCATTCTGGGTTGTCCAAAGTGATGAGATCAACCGCATTGATTTCACAAAGGCCCTACCCATTTCCGTTTCTACTAGAGCCAGCCAGCGAGCCAGCCATTCAGCCAACCCCTGCATGCAGCATGCGGATCTTATTATGCTATCTTCTCCCATCATCAGCAAGTCACTTTTAGAAAATTCCAAGTTGACAAATCTTTCTCCATAAGGCAAGCTGACTCTCTCGTCATGCTTCTCCAATCAATACACGCTCTTCACCGGAAGAAGAGTGTGCATTGCTCCTAAGCTCACAGTAGATAACATATTGACCGGAACACCAAGCCAACATGACCAGCATTGGGTCTAGAAGCGCAAGTGGACTGAGGCATGTTTTCCTTTCCTAGCAAAGCTTCTTTGACAACAGTCCACCCAACCCGATAGTGCAGATGGTACAAGACCATATCTACAACTTCACAGAGAGCTGATGTGCGTGCTCCAACACTTCACCTGTATGTGTTGTGATGGCTAAACCTGGAAGTAGTTGGAAAACTTCTGAGGTTCACCCTGGTGGTAAATTCTGGTCCGTTGCAAGAAGGGAATACGACCATGACCAGCTTTGTCTAATGCCTTGCCGTTGTGATGCGGATGCACAAGTGGATCAGAGAGTATACCTCCTTTTTTCTCGCAAATCGTCTGCTTTGTCCAATTGGCAGTCTTTCCTACAAACTGGTTTGGTTTGGTTTACGCATCATGGCTTTCAGAGTGTGGTGAATGATGGTACCGAGTTCTTGAAACTCATCATTCAAAACACTCTAAAAGCCATGATGCGCACAGAGTTGGAAACACTCAGGTCTGCACGTTGCCCTTTGCTATTGCCTCCATGCAATCCAGTCTTTCAAAACATGATGACAAATGGCTTTGACTCTTTGACACCCATGGCCGTGTTGCGAGCAACTACAATTTCCCCTGCTGTCCAAAATGACTACAATTCAAACATTTGGAATGACAGTGCAATCAGACAAGCATAAAACCATCAATTCTGAACAAACCCCGACATGCGCCTATACAGCCCGTGCTGTTTAAACTTTACCTTCCATGCTGCTAATATCATCATGGTGGAGCAACTTTGACTAGCAAATGGAACAAATCCAAAACGTGGAGAAGTTCAAAGTTCAAATCAAGCAGCTACTCCGTTCGAAAGTCTCATAATGAGTTAAAATCTGAGATCACAAGAGTTGAAAAATACCCCGGTATACAATGATGACCTTGTCCTCACCCATGTAGAAGCTTTCTCTTGCTGGACCAGCCTTGTCCAGCCTTGAGTTTTACACGCACAAGTGGGACTCCCACTGTCAATAAACTATAATTTCCGAGCATCGGAGGACAACATGCAAGGCCAGCCGAAAGGATGGTCACTTGAGTGAGACTTCTGTCCATAGACAACGACACTCTCGGAGATCTCCTAAGAAAATGCGAACTCTTCATACGGTTCAATTCGAAAAATGAATCGATGATGGGCGGAAGAAAAAAAAAAAGAAAAAAAAAGGGAAAAAAAGCTGCTTGAATCATGATGATCGATCATCTGGGCACTGCAGATATTTCATTTGGAAACCAAAAGGCCTATGGGAAACTCCAAACGAGCAAGTATCTACTGCACCCGCCTAGAGGACTGATAGACCTCCTGACAGGGACCTATAAAAAATTGCGGGGAAAGATAAAAAGGAGAAAGGTAGTGTTTAGCTGAGGTACACAATGATGGTGAAATCTGGTGTCTCTTGCTGACTGAAGCCAAAGCCCACTTGCAGGAGGTGGGGGGCAGGGGAGGATGCCTTCAATAATTCTCATCTTGCAACGAATCACAACTCCTCTCCACTTCAGTTCGTGGAGCCGTTCTCCACCACAATTCTCCTGTTGCGACTTATGCTCACCCATTCCTCCATCTCCCTATTTTTAGCCTTTACCGAACTCGTCCACTCTTTGGAACACATCCGAGACGAACACCCGAACATGGTCCGGGCTCCTCCTCCTCGTCCGGATGACCATTTTCCTCATTCTCTCGCATTCTTTCCTTCTTGTGCTCTTATTCCTTCCGCTCCAGATATTTCAACCCTCTACAGTGACTCTTCCTCCATCGTTTCTTCACAATTACATTTTTCATTTCCTCCTCTCTCGTCTTCAATTCTCTTCTCTTTTCTCTCTCTATCTCGAGTCGAAAGCGTGAAGCGAGAAAAGATAAGGCGTATGAATGAAAAGAGGTGGACAATTCTCATCGTGGCGTAAGTATGAAAAGAAAGGCCAACAACAGTCTCTGTGAAGAAGTCAACAATTCCATGTCGTCCTTTGAAGCCAAGTTATGTGGTGACATTGTGGTCGTATATTTAAATTCCAAATCTGCATGCTTCCTGTTCAGTGGGTGGATGTTCATCCGAACATGATTAAAAGTTCACACCCAAATCTCGGGCTTAATGTATTGCACGGAAAGTACGGAGGGAACAAAAAGATGGAAGATGCAGAATTGCACGAGACAGAATAACAATGAAAACCCTAAAGAACCTATGCAGGAACCCCGGTTGCAAGAGTAGAGCCGAACCAATGGCCCGTCACCAATATCATCGAGATTCACTGATCACAGCCAAGGCAATTTAATTTACTAGACACAGCAGGGGCTCTGATTGAAGCAGAAACGGATACATAAATTGAATTATGTGAGCAAAATTAGTTCTTTTCTTTGAAGGAGAGCTTCTTCTTATGTGGTTTCGGCTAAGATGCAGCTCAAATTATAGAACTCAGGCCATGTTTTATCGCTAAAGAGGTGATCTGACGAGAAGGGTCTTGAACCGAAACAATATACTTCTGAAACTGGACATGGGTGGGTACATGTACGCATTATTGGTGGATTCACTGCAAGGGGTATGGTTCACATATAAGACACATTGAATCACTTCGAAAAGATTAATACCTGTTAAAAATTTACATAGTTTTTCCATCTTATTTTCGTTTCGGATCGGTGAGGAGATCGTGAAACGAAGGAAGCAAATCATGATGTGCACATGGGAATATAACGAAGGAACCGGTCGAATATGGACGAGAGGGGAAGAAAAATAAAGGAGTAATAATATGTTGATTTTTTTAATTACTAAAATTTTAGAACTCGAAAATATTTTTCAATATAAACTTATGAAAGTATAGAGTTACACAGAGTAGTCCCATCTTTAAGTACGCATCTAAAAGTCCTTTTTCCTTCTCATCATGTACCTGCTACTTTTATGCTCCTGTTATTTAAGAAAAAAAATGATGAGATTCTTTTAAAAAAAATTGCAGATTTTGCTTATGATTAGCTTATGTTTTTATATCCTTCCCAAATATGGATGTTCGATGAGGATAGTTGTTACAGTTTCTAATCATTTCTAACATCCATGATCAGTAGTAACATTATTGATAACATAAATGAAGGCCATCATCTTCT